CTGGTCCTGCATTGCGGTAAAAAAGAGAGGCTACTGAGGGAGTCTTTATATATATATACATAGCACAATGTCACATTTTGCTTAGCCGGCCAAACCGGACAGAGGGGAACCACTCCCTCTGGATGCCCGCTTTGTTCTTGTGCCAGCCATGAGGAACCTGTGTACGCCAAAGAAGCCTTTGGTTTCCGGTTTGGATGTAGGATGAGCATGTCTCGAATCAGGTGATCAGTAAAGGGAACTCCGGGAACTCTGACTTTTTGCTTTTTTTGAGACAAAGCAACGTCAAAACAAATACAGTACTGCAACTGATAACTGCCTGTTGGTTTACAGGTCTTCTATTATTCAAGATGTTTTTGATTGTTTTTGATATGGCAGAGCTGAACAGCTCGAGAGATGATGGATCTGCGATCAGGAAGGAGCGACAAGGCAATCATGGTCCTGACAAGCGGCCTTTTCAGGAGGGGCACTAGACTTGTGGAAACTGAGCTGTGCAAGCTGGTTCACGAAAAACTGATGAGGGTATTCCATAGCAAGATGTTCAGAGCTTGTCCAAGGTTCCTCGTGATGTGTCTTTTCATCCAACTCCTTGTTGGTTTCCGAATGGAGTGTTTCATGAACAGATCCATCGGAGTATGTGTTGCAATTTCATTGGAGCTAGGAGCGCCTTCAGCAATCACGCTTGGTTCGTCCCGCGTCTTCAACTAGCTCCAGTAGCAGTGACAGCAGCAGCGACAGCGCCACGGCGACGACTATTGGTGTCATTGTTTTCAGTGCCAAAAGCCCTTTGCATTGGGCAAGTCGGCAAAACTTCAATCTGAGAGTTGTTTATGTTGTTTGATTTCTTTGTATTTGTCTATCCTTAGTTTCACGCTCTGAGAGAGAGAGAGAGAAGTCATGAAAGGGTACGCATGTGTATTGTCAAGTGGAAAAGTACAGAACTATATGGACTACATAGGGCGAAACTATCTATCGATTACAATGTTTGCCATGCCACGAGCGGATTTGTTGGCAATCTGTTCTTGGGTTGCGAACATGGAATTGTCTTATGTCAAATTCATGGGGTAACATGTGTTTCCAAACAAAACTGGAGTGTAGCCTGAAAACATTTCCTGAATATCCTGTGGGTGTAGCCCAATTCTTAATCAGCAGGGATCACACACCAAAATAGTTTCTCCATGTTTTATCCCTTCCTCCCTCCTCCACTCACCCGGCTTGCCAAGGATTACTCCATCCCAGCACATCTATCGCTGTCTCAATCTAGAACAAGTGTGGTCACATATCAAATGGATTCTATGTTGTATGTACATACATACAGTACTGTATATCGTATAAAGAGCGTTGTGGCTCAAGACCACCTGGCATTCCATAGATCTGTTCTTTTGGGTTGTCGAGCATTGGAGGTCCAGGGTTGTGATTTATCCAGCACCTTTATCCCCCAATCACTTTCGTGGTCCAACTCGATTGATTGTGTCCTCCCAAAAAAGCTGATCACCAGCCGCAGGTGAGTCGACTGCACGCAGCTGCGGCCATGCACAGCGGTCTGCCGAGCGTGCAAGCCGTGCGCGGGCGTGCGCGGAGCGGATTCGGGGCCTCCTCTCGTTGGGCAGCCAAAACGCTGTGTCTCGTTGAAACACGGTCGATGAGAAAGGAGGTCAATGATGAGCTTGCAGCCGGGTCGTTGATTTTGGATTGTGAATCAAAACATTGTAGTGTTTGGAGGGGGTGATCTTGGCAATGGATAGGAAGTGCATTGGAATCTAACTGTTTAGATCTGTTTAGTGAGTCTAGTGAGAGATGATGATAGTTGCTGTTTTTAATATATGTATATATATATATACTAGGCTGAAATGACAAAGGACTTGTGAAAACTACCTCCAAATTGGGGCGGCTAAGTCATGAAGGTTTAGCCTACCCCCCACAAGTATTTATGTCATGAAGCAAAAGCTAGGAAAAACATCAAAATCAGAGATGCCAGAGGTTGTCACCAAAGATCCTAAAAACAGTTGATTTTATATTGACAAGCATCATGACATACGACTTTGGTATCTAAACAATGAATAAACCATCGAGAGATAGGAATTTGAGAGCAAAAACGCACAAAGGCAGACTTAAATGAGATAGTAATGTGTTCTTAATGAGACAGGACATGTGGACTTTCATTAGCTCTAATCTTCCAGGAGCATGCCCCCCACCACCCCCCC